AAAAAATATGTTTTTGAATTCATATTGCATCAAAATATATTTTTTACCTTAAGGTAATTTTGTATTTTTATAACCTAAACTATACTTTGTATTTTTAATTTTGAAAATTGTGCTTCTATTTATTATAACAGTAAAGTGGCCATCAGTCTTACCTCCCAAAAAAATTTGGAGTTTCAACCCAAAACGACGTTGTTCTCTTATTCCCAACCACTCCCCTTTGCCTTTCCATCTTTTGCCTTTGCCTCTTATGCAATCATCTCCATCTCTATCTCCAATTCCTTCTCCATCGCCTCTCATCTCCATCGACTCCTCCGTATCCTCCGATTCCACTGCAACTCATCTTCTCCGTCGACTGTAACCCCTGCTTTTTTTCACTTTTTCTGCAATCATCTCCATCTCTATCTCCATCGGTTCCTCCAATTCCTCCAATTCCTCCAATTTTTCAGATGGACTCTCTCATACCTAACAATGGGAACCAAAGATGAAATCCCTAACTTGACAATTTCCTTTCTCAAACAGTCTCCTTCCAGTAAAAGAAAAAAAAAACTTTCCTCTTCTCCACCGTCAACACCACACTCAAGCAAGCAAAAATCCCCCTTTCTCCTCCTCGAAGTCTTCCTCTACTACTCTCAAAAACCAGACGGAGACTCCCAAATCAAACTCGAAAATCAACCAAAGACCCCCTCTTTGATCTGATTTTTTCCTATATATATACCCAAATAAAAAAATAAAATAAAAATAAAATACAATAAAATAAAAACTTCTTCCATCAATCACTGATCTTTGCAGCAAAAGTAGAGGACGAAGATGATGCCAATTTTGTCTGGTATGGGCTGTTTTTTTTTTTTTAGGTGAGGCAAGGACAGGGCTGTAGCAAGCAGGAGTGCAGAGGCGTAGGATTGGGGGCGTATAGTGCAGGAGGCGCAACAGGGTGCAGCCCCAGGTGCAGCAAGGCATAGCCTCGGGTGCAGCAGGGCGCAGCCCCAGGTGCATCAAGGCGCAGGCTCGGGTGCAGCAAGCGAGGGGGCGCAGCAGGGCTTGATCGCCTTTGATGGCTGCTGGCTGAAATGAAGGCTCGGGAGATGAGAGAGAAAAGGCCCAAAGTCAGGGTGAGGAAGAAGACTTTGGCTAGGTAATGGAGATGATTGCAGAAGAGGCAAAGGGGAAGGGCTGGGCTTAAGAGAACGACGTCGTTTTTTGTTGGGACTCCAAATTTTGTTGGGAGGTAGGACTGATGGCCACTTTACCGTTATTATAAATTGGAGTT